AAAAAGACTTGCAAAGATGGCTTGAGGGAAAATTTTAGTTGAAATTTAATCAAGGAACAATATCAAACACACTTATAAGTGGTTGGATGACTATCTCTTTTCTGAAATAGAAAAGGGAAGAGCATAGATCAAAAGACACAAACCAGCAAAATATCCTGACATGGAGAAGGTTGTTTATGAGTGGTTTCTCTAGCATCAAGAACGTGTGAATATCACAGGAGAATTAATTTTGTATAAGGCAAGAGATACAATGAAACTCGTGTACCCTCATGATGTTTTAAATGTTAACTTCTCTATAGGATGGCTTGGGAAATTCAAGCACCGACATGGCATAAAGTCATTTCATCATTTTGGAGAGAGTGAGTCTGTTGATGTACAAGACATGGAGCAGAAACTAGTATCGATTCGGGAGAAAATTGATCAATTCCCTATAAAAGATGTTTTTAATATGGATGAAACTTGGTTGTTTTATAGGCTACAAGCCGATCATTCACTGGCAATAAAATAACTTGAAGGAAGAAAACAAGATAAAGAAAGGCTGACGGTAGTTATTTGTTGCAATGAAGATGGCTCGAAAAAATATCTCTATGGATTATTGGGAAATATGCAAAGCCTCGTTGCTTCAAGAATGTCAACATGAATAGCTTCGATTGTCAATATCGAGCTAACAAAAAAACATGGATGACTAGTGTGCTTTTTGATGAATATGTTCGTTCATTTGACCAAATGATGCATGGTAGAAGAGTTCTACTTATGGTGGATAATTGTCCAAGACATCCAAGAAATATTGAAGGGCTAAGAAACGTTGAGTTGTTCTTCTTGCCACCCAACATGACATCAAAGATTCAACTTTGCGATGCTGGGATAATATGAGCTTTCAAGATGCATTACCGTTGAAGGTTTTATTGCAAAATATTGGAAGGTTATGGGGTGAGACAATCTGATCCAGGGAAGATAAATGTCCTTGATGCTATCAATTTGGCAATCCCAGCTTGGATGATAGATGTTCGAAAAGAAACAATAGCGAATTGCTTCCGACATTGTAAAATTCGATCAGTTAGTGACGTTGCAAGAAATTTGGATGAATCCACTTTTAATAAAGAAACTCAAGACCTCGAGACTATGATCAATCAATGTGGCTATTGTAATAAGATGGATATCGACAATCTAATGAACTACCCAGGTGAAAATGAAGCATGTTTGGAGGTTCAAAGTTTAGAAGATATTGTGGATACTATTATTGAGAACAATGTAGAGGATAACGACGAAGATGATACAGTGTCTTTGGAGCCTGTTACGTGAAAGGAAGCACTTATGACATCGAACACTCTTCACAACTTTATGATACAATACAAAAATACAACACCTGAGCTATTGGATGCAATAAGAAAAGTTAGAGATGAACTTCAAATAGACTTGAATTTTAAAGGAAAATAGAGAACTATTGAATCATATTTCAATAGTGTGTAATATATTTTTTCTAGTTTCTATGAATTATTAATTTATGATTTTCTTGGGACCGAAAATTATAAAGGAATCTCACAAAAAATTATTATCTTATTATTTTATCGAGTTTTTCAATTTTTTACATTGATCCAAGTCGGGACCAAACACATTTATTATTTTAAAGAATTTATTAATTTACTAAATATTAATTTAAAGAGTTATATATATATATATATATATATATATATATATATATATATATATATATATATATATATATATATATATATATATATATATATATATATATATATATATATATATATATATATATATATATATATATATATATATATATATATATATATATATATATATATATATATATATATATATATATATATATATATATATATATATATATATATATATATATATATATATATATATATATATATATATATATATATATATATATATATATATATATATATATATATATATATATATATATATATATATATATATATTATTTATTTAATATTTATATATACTTTCCACGATCTGTGCCAACACAGGAGTTACTTATTAATAATCTAAATAGTTAAAATCATTGATGTAGATTCTAAAAAATCAAAAAATATTTTTAGAAGGTGGCAAAAGAAAAAAAAAGTACTTTTAAAGATAACATTTCTTTCTTTAATCTTATAACACATAGTAACTTATGGTCTTAATTAGCACTTGTCAAAAAGAAAATGAATGTGGGTCTACAAGGCATGGGAAAAGTCAGTCAATAACGAGTACACTCAATGCGGCGAACAACTTTTGATATTTTCAAAAATAGTATATGAAATTCACTGATTAAATATATAAAAAATTTCAAACCAGGTATTGCATTTATATGAATATTTATAAGAATATCTTAAAAATTCTATCAGTCTTATAATAAATGTTTCATTTGAATTATATGTAATTTTTAAAAAAATATTAAATATATTGATTTTAACAATAAAATTAGTGTTATATATTAGAAACTCTTTAAATTAATAATGTCACGACATGAGAAATTTATTAATTTATCGATAAATTAATAATTATTAATTTAAAGAGTTTTTAAGTAATTATACTGTACATACCAAATAAAAAGGTAAATTAGTCTATGCCTCTTAGAATTACGTTGCAGCGAACTTTGGGAGTCAACGTAAATTAGTAACTACTATGTTCATATGCATTGGAAATCAATAATGACTTTTGAAGACAGTAAATATAAACAAGAGAAACAAATGTGTTCAATGTATTCTTAAGCAAATTTGGCATATATAAATTACATGAATGTGTTAGAGTATTCAAATCATATCTCACAAGATGACTTCTCATCTAAAAGGTGTTGCAAAATCAACTATGTCAGATCAAATACGTAAGGAGTTGTGTGAGTACAATAGAGATAATCCTGCAAGCACACAAAAAGACTTGCAAAGATGGCTTGAGGGAAAATTTTAGTTGAAATTTAATCAAGGAACAATATCAAACACACTTATAAGTGGTTGGATGACTATCTCTTTTCTGAAATAGAAAAGGGAAGAGCATAGATCAAAAGACACAAACCAGCAAAATATCCTGACATGGAGAAGGTTGTTTATGAGTGGTTTCTCTAGCATCAAGAACGTGTGAATATCACAGGAGAATTAATTTTGCAGAAGGCAAGAGATACAATGAAACTAGTGTACCCTCATGATGTTTTAAATTTTAACTTCTCTATAGGATGGCTTGGGAAATTCAAGCACCGATATGGCATAAAGTCATTTCATCATTTTGGAGAGAGTGAGTCTGTTGATGTACAAGACATGGAGCAGAAACTAGTATCGATTCGGGAGAAAATTGATCAGTTCCCTATAAAAGATGTTTTTAATATGGATGAAACTTGGTTGTTTTATAGGCTACAAGCCGATCATTCACTGACAATAAAATAACTTGAAGGAAGAAAACAAGATAATGAAAGGCTGACGGTAGTTATTTGTTGCAATGAAGATGACTCAAAAAAATATCTCTATGGATTATTGGGAAATATGCAAAGCCTCGTTGCTTCAAGAATGTCAACATGAATAGCTTTGATTGTCAGTATCGAGCTAACAAAAAAGCATGGATGACTAGTGTGCTTTTTGATGAATATGTTCGTTCATTTGACCAAATGATGCATGGTAGAAGAGTTCTACTTATGGTGGATAATTGTCCAACACATCCAAGAAATATTGAAGGGCTAAGAAACGTTGAGTTGTTCTTCTTGCCACCCGACATGACATCAAAGATTCAACCTTGTGATGTTGGGATAATATGAGCTTTCAAGATGCATTACCGTTGAAGGTTTTATTGCAAAATATTGGAAGGTTATGGGGTGAGACAATCTGATCCAGGGAAGATAAATGTCCTTGATGCTATCAATTTGGCAATCCCAGCTTGGACGATAGATGTTCGAAAAGAAACAATAGTGAGAATGAAGCATGTTCGGAGGTTCAAAGTTTAGAAGATATCGTGGGTACTATTATTGAGAACAATGTAGAGGATAACGACGAAGATGATACGCTATCTTTGGAGCCTGTTACGCGAAAGGAAGCACTTATGACATCGAACACTCTTCACAACTTTATGATACAATACAAAAATACAACACCTGAGCTATTAGATGCAATAAGAAAAGTTAGAGATGAGTTCCAAATAGACTTGAATTTTAAAGGAAAATAAACAACTATTGAATCATATTTCAATAGAGTAATATATTTTTTCTAGTTTCTATGAATTATTAACTTATGATTTTCTTGGGACCGAAAATTATAAAGGAATCTCCCAAAAAATTATTATCTTATTATTTTATCGAATTTTTCAATTTTTTACATTGACCCAAGTCGGAACCAAACACATTTATTATTTTAAAAAATTTATTAATTTACTGAATATTAATTTAAAGAGTTTCCACGATCTGTGCCAACACAGGAGTTACTTATTAATAATCTAAATAGTTAAAATCATTGATGTAGATTCTAAAAAATCAAAAAATATTTTTAGAAGGTGGCAAAAGAAAAAAAAAGTACTTTTAAAGATAACATTTCTTTCTTTAATCTTATAACACATAGTAACTTATGGTCTTAACTAGCACTTGTCAAAAAGAAAATGGAATGTGGGTCTAAAGGCATGGGAAAAGTCAGTCAATAACGAGTACACTCAATGCGGCGAACAACTTTTGATATTTTCAAAAATAGTATATGAAATTCACTGATTAAATATATAAAAAATTTCAAACTAGGTATTGCATTTATATGAATATTTATAAGAATATCTTAAAAATTCTATCAGTCTTATAATAAATGTTTCATTTGAATTATATGAATTATTAAAAGAGAACATAAATATTTTCTATATAGTGGAGTTTGGTTGCATCATTAGTTGGTTTCTGAGAAAGACAGAGAGAGTGGAGAAAGAAACAAAACCTAAAAAGAGCAGAAAAAAAAAATAGGTTTTGTATCTTTTGACTTGATTTGTGTTATCATCGTCCCTCTCCTATGGCCGGGTATGTAACCCTCTCTTCCTTACACTATGTGTGATTATCAAACTCAGCTTCTTACTTGGTTTTCCCTTTCAAAAATCATAGTTCGGGTAAAGAGACAACTGTTTTGAAAGAATGATAGCTTTTTTTGTGTTCTGGTTAGATTTCTAAGTTGGATTGGTTTTTCTTTGTGATGTTCTGTTTTTAGAGTTTTTTATTTTTGTGCAAATTGTTAGGTTATGATCTATTTGCTAATCAGAGTCTACTTAAATTATTTTATTTTCACATTTCTTGCTCTTCTATATGCAGACCATCATGGCTGGTGGACAAAAGTAGAATTGCAACCAAAATAAAAAGTGCAATGGAGTCATGTGCTCCAGAAAATGTTACATGGAAAAGCAATCCTACCAAGGCTTGTCCTAATTGTCAGCATTGTATTGACAATAATGATGTATGTGTATTTTCTAAAAGAAAAATTACTATTTTTTCCCAGATTATATTTTATGCTACGTTCTTGTGTATTCTTATGTTTTCTTTAGTTATATGTGTGTTTAATTCATATAGTATACAATGCATTCACTCTCAACCTTTGTGTTGTTGTCTCTAGTTAAGTAGTTGATAGTTAGTCCATTCTTAGTTAGTTGGTGGGTTATTTAGGGATTTGTCGGGAGAAATAAAGCATATTGTCTATAAATAGGAATGACACTAAGATTGAGGGTAGGTAAATTGGTGAGTTTAGAATCAGACAGTCGCGGTCTCTCGGATGTCCAATGAAATTGTGCGTTTCTATTCTCTCAATAAATAGTACATACTGCATTCTTTTCGGTCAAATCTAGTTCCTATTAATACCATTAATATGCTCTATTATGAATAAAAAATTCTCATCATATAATTATGCAAGTTTTTTATGTATTTTATGGCAATTCACTAAGATTGGCTATTGATATTATTGGATAGATGTCAATTTACAAGAAATGAATAGGTTTTAAACTTCTTCCTATGTCGCAATAAATATATGTTGTCAATATCGTTCAATTGTGGCGCTACAGAGGAATAGCGTAATGGTGGTAGGGTTTGGCGCAACGCTTTAGGGCTGCGAGCTTCCGTCTGCAATAGTGTTTGTTGCAACCACTATTTGTGGCGAAATTGCAGCTCGAAACCGCCAACGCTAATTAGGATTTTTGGGCGAAATTCCACAAATCCCCCTTTTTTAAAACCTTGTCTTCAATTCAAACTTTTTTAAGGGTAATTTCATCCTAATATGTTCATGCTCACAAGCAATCATTTTGTTCATATTTTTAGTTCGGTTCAATTATGTTTCCTCTGGTTAAGTTTCATTGCTTTGTACCTCGAAGTATGATAATCTCTTTAATTTTCTATTTTTGAGTACTTATGTTTACTTTGAGCACTGGTTTTTAGGCTATGCAATGGTGGTTATCCCGTTATCCACTATACCGCTATAGCATTTTAGGAGGTCCGTGCCACGTGACACTATCCGAGACTAATTGAGCTTTTGCTTGATGCCCTGACTGAACTAAATGTAATTTAAGAGTTTCATAGCGTTATTGCCTAATTGGGCGGTTTTTAACATGAATTCTTGTCAATGAATGTGATACATCTTCAAAAGCATGAATCCTTTAATTGCAGAAGCAATGGGGAATCATTTTTACACTTTACTTGAATTACCCTATATAATAATGCTCCTAAACTGCCGGTGAAGAGAAACTCATCAATTCCAGATGCAACCTCTTTCATAGTTTGTTATTCTCGTATTGTGCCTGCTTGTGTTTGTACGTTAGGCACTTAGTACATGAACTTCTGTTTGCAGACTACAATTGCTCCATAATGTGTTGGATCTATCATAGCAGGGGTTTTAAAGTATTATGCCGCCCTTTACAACTAATGAACAATTTATTAAATTGTTTAATATGTTTTTGAATTATTTTATGATTTTTTTGTGATGTTTATCTTTTTAATTTATGCTGACTACCTGTTTAATTAGAGGTATGAAGAGTAAATTATACTTAGTCTCTATTAGGACATTATTCCATCATTTAATCTGTTTAAAAAGCCTCACCTATTGAGGAAAGGATATAGAAGTCGTTGTTGACCCATCTATTTAGTCTGCAATCTGTGGTTTACTTCATTGGGTTGGGATTTCCCCAATTTACAAGTTAAACATCTAAACAACTTTGTTATTTGTGTGTATTTTCCTTTGTTCTTTTTGAGTCATACTTGCCATGTATTTTAATTGTTAGAAATGTCTTAAAAGTAGTTTTTTTTTAATCTATATCCCATACTGTGAGTAACACTTAAAAGTTATAAAAAATTTGACATTTAATTCTTCATTTTCTGTTGTAAGGTTGCAAATGAGTGGCCAGGCTTGCCAAAAGGTGTCAAATTTGATCCATCTGATCAGGAAATAATATGGCATTTGCTTGCAAAAGTTGGTGTAGGAAATTTAAAACCTCATCCTTTCGTTGATGAGTTTATTACTACTCTTGAAGTGGATGATGGGATTTGTTACACTCATCCTCAAAACTTACCAGGTTGGTGGCTTGAGTTTTGTTTAATTTTAAATTCATGATTAATTATCAATCAAATTAATAATGTCGATGAAAATGTTAGGTGTTAAGCAAGATGGAAATGCATCCCACTTCTTCCACAGAGCGATTAAGGCATATAATACTGGCACTCGAAAGCGGCGAAAGATTCACGATCAAGATTTTGGTGATGTCCGCTGGCACAAAACTGGAAGAACTAAACCAGTAATCTTGAATGGGGTTCAAAAAGGTTGTAAAAAGATTATGGTTCTGTATATGAGCAGCGCGGGAGGAGGAAAAGCTGAGAAAACTAATTGGGTTATGCATCAATATCATTTGGGAACAGAAGAGGATGAAAAGGATAGAGAATTTGTCATCTCTAAAGTGTTTTACCAGCAGCAACAAGTCAAATTGGGTGATAAAGATGAACACGATATTCCTGAAGTCATCGAAGCAACAATTGTAAAAGTGGATCCAGTCACTCCCAAATCTGTGACTCCCGAGCCTCCTTATAATGAAAACAAGTATTCCGATGTTGATGTAGGACATCAAACACTTGTTGTTCCTCAGGTAAAACCTTTAACCATATTTTCTTATTATTGAATGTCAAAATATATATCCTATTATGACTTGCCATGAGCAATAGTGTGTAGGGTGTGTTTTAATTATTTATTAGGAATGCGTATTAGATAATGCATGCTTAGTAGTAGAAATACCATAATGCATTTGTACTAAGTTGAAATACTTGTTTTCATCTTATAAGTTTGATGTTTATTTTGAAGAGAAATATCATCGGTCAATGCCCGAGTATTTATATTTAAATAGTTTTGTTTTAGACATGATTTACGATATGAATTATCACTTTGTTTGACCAATGTAATTCAGCCCACTAATGGGAAAAGACTTTGTGGTTATGCAGTTGTTTTCCCTCCTAGAATGTACATTTTGTGTCGGAAAAGCTGCCTTAATTGCAGCATCTTTGAGCTATCTTTATTGCAACCTCTAGGACCTTTGATGAGTGGTGTGAGGAGTTTGTTTAAGTTCACATTGTCTAGACATATAGCTTAAGTAGTGCATATCAGACTTTGAAAGTCTTTTTACCTTACAAGCTGTTTGGTGGGGTTGAGTTTTGTCCTGAGCACAAAATTTAAAGATATTAGCTTGTGCCACTTTCTAAATATAATGCATTTTTGTATTAATCAAGGAAATGTAAGCTAGCCAATTGGCCACACTTGTTATTTATGAATTGTTTTTCATTGCTTTTAGCATAATGAATTTGAAAATATCTGTTACCTTGCAATTTCTGATCTTTTTGGTGTTCGAAGCATCAGATGGTTTGTCTGGATGAAATTCAAGCTGATTGTGAAGAGAATGCAAATGATGATCTATCCATGGTAGAAACTGAACATAATGAAGTGACAGAGAATATCGAAAATAATGGAGATGAAAGCCAAAAGTGGTGGGATAGTGAATCACAAAATCTGTTGGATTCACAACAACTGGTTGAAGCGTTGTGCTTGTGTGATGATTTATTTCATAGCCAGTCTCCCACTAGAGATGGCAAAGATGAAAAAAATAACCAAACAGGTCTTTCTGTATATGCTGAATTAGGACCAGAGCATCTAAAGAAGGATATTGAAGACTGTCAAAATCTTGTCCTTGACCCTCCAAATGATGTTGAGCATGACACAAATTCAGAGTTACGACTAAGTCAGCTGGTATATTTTCATATTCTCAATAATTTTGCTTTTAAATGAAATTTGTTTTATCATCATTATAACGGATTTTGGTGTTTATATAGGAGTTTGGTTCGCAAGATAGCTTTATATCATGGGGTTACAGCAACAAGGCATTAGGGTAGGGTGATATGGTTTTTTGTTTCTGTCCAACCCAGTCAGTCTATATAACTGATCTGGTTATGCTCTGCTTATTCATGTAATTCTTCTAATTATCGACCAATGCACTGGTATCTGACTTAACTTTAAACCTTAAACTCCGGTGTCGGGGCAGGATGCACTATTATGTTGGGATAATGTTTTGCTGCGTGTTGTTCAAAACTTTAATTTCTTTGTATTTTGTCTGCGGTTTGTAAAATTACGTCTGATTACTAATATTATGCATATAAAACTGTCAGATCTTGAATCATATTTGATTTTTGTTTTAACTACATTTAAATAATAATTATGAATGTGTGGTTTTTTTACACCGCTAGTATGTATATAAGCTACATAAAGGATCACAATTTGTAAGGTTGTATATTTACATGTCACGTTTTCAATTCAAATAGATGTGTGACTGAAAAATTAATGGATCTGTTTATAAGTAGAAGGAATATGTATGAAAACGCTTTTTATCATCTCAACTCTTATTAGGAAAATTTCAGACATATTAGAAATACTTTTGAAAATAAGCAAAAGTATATGAAGTTTCCCAAATTAATATTATACGTTAATGTTCTTGAAATATTAAATTAGATTTGATTAGATTTAATATTTAAATATAATCTAAGTTGTGTTAGTTCAAACTCAATTATGATTGTATATAAATAGTCGGTGTATATTATTATTTGTACAATTTAATAATATAAATCCTTATTTCCTTTATTATTCTCTCTTTTTCTTTTCACTAAAAGTGTCTCACACACTAACAAATTGGTATCAGAGTTTTTAGTTATTGTTCTTGATTAAGTTTTCAAGAATTTCATGTCAGAGATCGTGTTTCTAGGGCAAGTGAATTAACCACTGTGAAGATGACTAGTGATAAGGGCATTCTGAATTCTCTTCCAATGCTTGACGGTAAAAATTGGATTTGATGGAAAAAAACAGATGCAATCCTTGTTTGGCTTCTATGAAATTCTAAAAGTGGTTACCGACGACGTTCTTGCGTGGGCTGTAAATGCAACCGACGAACAAAAAAAAACCTACAACGAAGTCAAGAAGAAAGATTGCAAGGCTGCTTATTGCATTCAAACGGCTGTCAATGCTGCTAATTTCGACATAATCTCATGCTGAAACGACGAAGGAGGCATGGGACATTCTAATGAAGTATTACGAAGGAGGTGAGAAAGTCAAGGTTGTCAAATTACAAACCTTACATCGATAATATTTGTTGTTGTCAATGGGTGAAGATGAAAAAATTGCAGAATATGTGTCGAAGGTTCAGAAACTCGTCCATCTCATGAAGAGTTGTGGTGAAATCATTACTGATAAGATGATAATTGAAAAGGTAATGAGAACGTTGACCTCTCACTTTGATCACATTATCGTAGCTATTCAAGAATCCAACAATCTTGAAACCACTAAAGTGGAAGATTTGGTTGGTTCGTTTGAGGCGCATGAGATGAAGATTGTCGAAAGGAAAGGAGTCCAGGACTCGATACAGGTACTACAAGCTCAGTCATGGAAAAAGGATGATGGTTCCAAAAAATTCAAAGGCAAGTTCGACAAGACTCATGGCAAGAAGCCTTGGTCGAATCCCCATAAGAATAAAGTCGAAGATAGATCTTCTAAATCCTCGAAAAAGGGAGGAGGAAACTATCGAAAGGACAAAGAAGATAAGAAAGGTATGCAGTGTTATAACTGTGAAAAATGGGGACACTTGGCCAAGAATTGTTGGTACAGAAAAGACAAGGGATCGACAGGAAAGGACGAAGGAGCAAATCTTGCACACCAAGATTCAAATGATTCTGAAGGTGGTATGATGGTTATGGCTGCAGTTGCAGATAACTATGTCGAATCCAAGATCTGGTTTCTCGACTCAGGTTGCTCGGACCACATGACTGGTCGAAAGGAGTGGTTGGCAGGTTTTGACGAGTCGAAGAAGAGCAAGGTAAAACTTGCTGATAATAGTTCATTGCAAATGAAATGCAACATACTGACAACATAGTCTTTCAAATGAGCAATGGAGGGAAAGCTATGATCAAAGATGTGCTCTATGTACCTGGAATGAAATGCAACTTGCTAAGTGTTGGACAACTAGTCGAAAAATGTTTCTCAGTTGTCTTGAAAGATGGAGTTTTGAAATTGTTCGACACCAAGAACAATTTGGTCTTAAAATCTCCATTATCGAAGAACAAGACATTTAAGACTATGATCAGTTCGACAGAAGTTCAATGTTTGAAAACTGTTGTTGACCACAAGGATAGTTGGTTGTGGCATTTGAGGTTTGGACATTTGAATTTTCTATCACTTAAGCAATTGATTACTCAAGATATGGTTACTGGTATTCCAAGCCTTGAGATGCTTGAAAAACTTTGTGAATGTTTTTTAGTGGGAAAGCAATCCAGAAATTCTTTCGTTTCGACTATGTCAATGAGATCATCCTGCATTCTTGAAGTGGTGCATTCAAATGTATGTGGTCCATTCGAAGAACATACAATTAGTGGGAACAAATATTTTGTTTCGTTTGTCGATGAGTTTAGTCGAAAGTTGTGGATCTATGTGATCAAACGAAAGGACGAAGTATTCAAAATCTTTAAGAGATTCAAGATACTTGTCGAAAATCAGAGTGAGAAGAAGAAAAAAGTTCTGCGAACAGATGGAGGTGGAGAATACACATCCAAGATGTTTGAAGATTTCTGTGCAGAACATGGTTTTGATCATGAGGTAACTGCTCCTTATACACCTCAACATAATGGAATTGCTGAAAGAAGAAACAAAACCATATTAGATATGGCGAGATGCATGCTGAAGCAAAAGAATTTGCCAAAGTCTTTATGGGGAGTGTTGTACCCCAAAATTTTCTCTCTCATTTCTCAAGATATTTCCTACAAAGATCTTCAATGACTCAAGTTTGCGCAAGTATCGACTAGGTCAAACAATCTCCTCAATACTGATGCCTCAAATTAGGGTTTGAGTTTATACAAAGACAATCAGATTTCTAATGTTTCAAATGACTTTCATGGATCATTATGGACCCTCAGGATTACTCCTGTCAAGTTTAAAGTCTTGGATCACAATTTTCCAAGAAAGTCATTCAAATTATCAAAAGGGCAAAATTGGCAAAATTAGGGTTTTGATTGGAAATGACCGAACTTTGATTTTTGATCTAATACCTGACTTATTGATTGGAAGCATGATCTCAAGGATCCAAGCACGTCATTTTGACCTAATCGCATATTTCAATTTATCTCCTGAGATTAGTGGATTGATAGACGAAATTCGGTCAACTGGTGGAAAAAGTCAACTGTACACTAAAAAGTCAAACTTTGACTTTTTGATCAAAATTGAGTCCCAAAAATCACATTTCGTCAAGACATCCAAAATATGAAATTTGATCATCAAAAATCAAGAGAGTAAAAAATCTAACTTGCAAGACTTGGAATTTTTTTTAAGTATTTTCTATACTTGTTAATTTCATTGCTTCATGATATCTTTTCACTACAACTCAAAATAATTCGAGATGTTACAAATAATTCAAGATGTTACAAATAATTCAAGTTATTACAAAGTGACATTTTTGCAAGATTACAAATCCTAAGTTTGGTCTTGTTTGAACTCTTTCCCTTTGACTCAAACCTTGCCACTATGCTGCTCACAAATATGCTTTGTCTTTGTTATAGTCTACATAAATTGGTCCACAAACCAGATTTTGTACCATGCTACAATATGCTACCAAGTCCAAGCCTTCTTATTACAAACTCAAAATCATGTTTAGAAGACAGTCTACTGTATCGAACAAAACACCCTGCTATGCTATCTCCAAACACTGCCACAACACTCCAAAACTGCTGCAAAACAGTCCTGCTATGCTGCTCCTAACCCAGTCCAAGCCTGCATTATCTCAGCCCCATATTTGCACCAAATTAGCACATAAGAGCTGCATCAAAAAAGCTATAAAGACAACATACCTAAACATTTCAAATTGATATTTGTTTCCCTCCCAAAATCCCAACAAAACTCATCTACAAATAGACTATTTTCACAACACACAAGGGGCTGGCTTTTGGAGAGAGAATAAAGAGTTTTTGAACAGAAAAAACAAAATTCTTTGTAACCTTTTCTCATTCAAAAAACCAGCTATACTTTCATTCAAAATAGAACCTCAATCCATTTTTCCATCTTACAAACTCTCCCATAAACCAAACACCTTATCACATAGAGATTGTTCAAACACAAGAACAGTTTCTGTAGTGCCATTATCTTCACCCTCCAAACACAAAAACAGTACTGTATAACTTGACTGGGTTGGTGTTGGTTCAAACAGTTTGGAATAATTTCCTAGAGTTTCACTAAGGCCCTCACAGCATCTTGAAAAGTATTTAGACTTAAAACACCAAGTGAAGTCTCAAGGTAAGTCTTCTTGACTTTGCATTTCTTCATACATCATTAATGATTTATTTTTGAAGATAAAATGTAGTAATCATTGCTCCTTTGAACTAAACATTTGTTTGCTATTTATGTTTATCAATCATATGCTGTAAACTAACCTGTACAGACAATAAAACAATGTTTAAGGCAAAAAAACTGCAGCATGAGTCGACACATACCCACAGGGTCGACTCATTCTAGTGAAAAAACAGGGTATGAGTCGACACATGGCCTTATGCATCGACTCATACTGTTATCCAGGCCCCAAAACAGAAGGATGAAAGGTGCACGAGTCGACACAAAACACGTATGTGTAGACACAAACAGGTGTATGAGTCGACACATCCCATTATGCATTAACTCATATTGAGTTGGTTTGGTTCTACAGGGGCAAGGAAAGTTATGTGTCGATGCATAGTAGCATGTGTCGACACATAATAGTTCAAAATGCAATTTCCCTTTATTTTACATAGTTTTTACATTGTCTTCATTATTATTCGATATGGTTGTAATATTTAAGTTTCCACTTCATCCCCATTTGTAAATTGTACCC